CTGGGCCTGGGCACTGTCCCTCAGCTCTTCAGCTCAAGGCTAGCACTCTACCACTTGAGCCACAGTGCCACTTCTGGCTTTTTTTCTTTTTGCTTATGTGGTGCTGGGGAATTGAACCCAGGGCCTCATGCATGCAAGGCAAGCACTCTACCACTGAGCCACCTTCCCAGCCCTCATCAAATTATTTTTGTAACTTTATTTCTAAATAAGTTCACATCTGCTGAGCTGGTGGCTTATGCCTGAAATCTTAGCTAGAGATCTGAGAGTTGAAGTGCAAAACTTGCTGGTGCAGATTAACCAACAGAAAAGCTGGAAGTAGAGGTATGGCTCAAGTGGCACAGCACCAGCCTTATACAGGCACAAAGAAATAGAAGAGAAATAAAAACATGTCTATGTTATTAGAAAGGAAGTTGAGAAGTAAAAGTGGTGCTATTGGAGAGAGGAAAGGCTTTTTGGAATAATATCCTTGAGTAGAGAGGAAGAGATAGAATCTGGAAATTAAGTGGAGTAGTGGCTTTAGCCAGAAATAGGTATAGTTCACCATACATAGTCCCATTAGAGATGGAATACATGCAGAGTTAATAGCACTGGGAGCTTGTGGAAGTTCTTTTGATTGCTTCTATTTTCTTAGGAAATTGAAAGCAAAGCCATCTACTGAGAGCAAAGATGGAGAAGAATTTTATGGTGGTATGATTTACTGTCCACTGAGAGCAAAGATGGAGAAGAATTTTATGGTGATATGATTTACTGTCTGGACTATGGAACAACTTATAACTTGGCAGTATGGCCTTCCCAGGTGAAGTTAAGGTGGACAAGAATCATAACAAAGTGACTGGCTTTGTTGTAGATACATTCAGGTGTTGATAGGCGAAGAGGATGCAATTTTAACAAGGAAAGACTTTGATATGGGAAAGAGCCATTTAGAATGATAAATTTAAGTGAAAATGAAGTGCAGTCTTCAAGGAGAAGGGATGAGGGTTGGTGAAAAGACTGAGAGATAGTGATAGAAATATTTACTAGACTACAGTCAACTACAATGTGTGATCTGAAAAAAACAGAAATGGAACTAAGGGGGCGGGGTGGAGAAATTGAGATGATAGAGGTAGTGCCTTTATTTTGACAAGGTCTGGGATATGACCAGGGTCCTGGGGCTCGAACTCAGGTCCTGAGCACTATCCCTGAGAATTTGTGCTCAAGGATAGTGTTCTACCACTTGAACCACAACTCCAGCATTTTGGTGATTAATGTTTCACACACTTTTCTGCCCGGGCTGGCTTCGAACCGTCATCTTCAGATCTCAGCCTCCTGAATAGCTAAGATGATAGGGGTGAGCCAAGGGTTTGAACTTAGAGCACCGAACTTCTAAGCAAGCAAGCAGGCAGGCGCTCCACTACTCCGGCCACTCACTCGGCCCTATTTTCGTCAATTTTGTAAAACCATTAAAAGAAAATCAAAAGTCCTTGCTCAGCATAAAGGATTACTTCCTCCTCGTTGCTTCACTCTCCGGAGGCTAAATTAGCAAATGGCCTCGCTCGGCCACCGTCGCAGGGTGGGTCCGCCCCGCCCAATGCTCGTTTTGCGACGGACCACGCCCCCTTCCCCCGGCGCTCCCTCCGCCCCACTTCCTCCCACAGGCACCGCCCCGGTCCGGTGCGCCTGCGCACAAGCGAACACGTGGCTGCGGCGGAGCTTGAGCAGCAATGGCGGCGGGTGGCGGCGGTAGCTGCGACCCCCCGGTCTCGGCCGGGGTTCCCTGCGCCTTTTCTCCCGACAGACAGGCCTATTTCGCGTTGGCCTCTGCCGACGGCCACTTACGAGTGTGGGAGACCGCCAACAACCGACTGCATCAGGAGTATGTGCCTTCCGCGCACCTCAGCGGTACCTGTACCTGCCTGGCCTGGGCGCCAGCGCGGCTGCAGGCCAAGGTAGAGCCGGGGGCCCGGGGAGGGGCTGGGGGGTCCTCCCGCGCCCGGCCTCGGCGCGCCAGGGCCGGGGAGCGCGTGGTCCCGCGTCGCGCTGGGCGGCCCGGGACCGGGCGGCCCGGAGCGCAGCCGCGGCGCGCCCTGGGCCCACGCCGCCGCCGCATGTGCAACCTGTCCGGAGGGCAGCGAGAGGGTGCGGCTCGCTCTCGGGCTCCACGCAGTCTGCGCCCCACTGTCGCCCGGCCGCCATGTTCGCTGAGGTCCTGGGTACCCCCCTCCTCCCCCCGCCCCGCACCTCCCCAGGGGCGTCTGACTGCCAGGCCTGGCTCGTCGACCGGTGCACATCCTGACCCTGGCCTGTGACTGTCCCTAAGCCGGGACAGTAGTACTGGTCTGTATCCCAGACCCGGCGTATTGCTTGTACGTGGGCCTGGGGGGGTTGCACAAGTCAGTCCCACTTGCTTCCGGGACCCTCTCTTGGCCAAGATGCCGGTTCTACACGTGTTCTCTTCCACAGCTAGGTGGTGGAAGGCTCACGCACGCCAAAGTCTTGGCTTGCTCAGGCTTCTTTTCATTTTCAAGCCTTTTGGACTTTCTTAAAAAAAATTTAAATCCTTGCAAGATCCTCTTTCAAACCTCTTCCCTTGAAGTTTTCGTTAGAACGTGGTGGTAAAGCGTGAAGTGTAGTAGCTTGGTTTCATACGACGCTAGAAATACCCTTTAGATGGGAAGCTGCCGAGTTAGGGAAGCCTTTTCCCTGTCAGGTTGAGTCACTAGATTACATGTGCTCAAACTCACACGCACGTGCTTACAGCAGTTAGAGAAACGGAATCAGACTCAGTGTGACTTTGAAGTAGCTGAAACATAGGGCATTTTTGCCTTAACAAAGTAAAACTTGAAAAGCTTGTATTTAGGATAAATCTTAGTCCACGTGACTACCAGGACACTGGTAAATCTGGTTTGAAAGAGAGGAGTCTTTAACTGCTGTACTTCGGGTGAGTATGTTTAGATTTTTTTTTTTTCAGAATTTAGTCTACATTTCCATAGTTTGTCGTGTTGGTTAATGAAGTGCACCTACCAGGATAAGTCAGGCACATAACTCAAGACTGGAAAAAAGTTGTCATTTATTTGAATTGCAGCCCTCTGTATACAGTTTTTCCTTTTTAAAGTTGTTTTCTGTTTTTATAATTTAGCAGTCCTGTACAGTCTTAGTAGTAGTGATGGAGAAACATAGAGTAGTAGTTTTAGATATATGTACCCATTTGGTACTGTCTACCTTTCAGTCCAAGCTCTGCTTCACAGCAATAGTTCTTGGTGTGTAAGCACTGTGTTACTATTATTGGTCTCTTGTATTTGTATAGTTAGTCTTGTTAGGTAGATAAGACTCAGCTTCCATTAAGTCAAAAATGGAACCAGGCTTAGTTATGGTTTTAAAGCTCAGTTTTTGGTTATATTAACAAAATAGTTAATATTGGTCTGGGAATGTGGCTTAGTGGTAGAGTGCTTGCCTAGCATGCATGAAGCTCTGGGTTTGATTCCTCCATACCACATACACAGAAAAAGCTAGATCTGGTGCTGTGGCTCAAGTGGTAAGAGTGCTAGCCCTGAGCAAAAGAAGCTCAGGGACAGTGCCCAGGCCCAGAGTTGAAGCCCCAGGACTGGCAGGAAAATAAGTTAATATTAGATTGGCATGTCATATTACATGTCCTGCATTTTGCTCTTCTGTTGGTTTGCAGTCACATTGTATTGAAACTTAAAGTCTCAAAATCATAGTTTGGAGATACACACACACATATACACAACACATGTATATTATAGGAAAATCACTGGGTTTGGTTTCATAACTAACACTAAATTGAAACGTTTTGTCAAACTAAGTTGCTTTAATTTGGGGAGTTGAGCTCCTTAAGTCTTGTGCTGGGGATGTAGCACTGTTGTAGAACCTGTGCGTTTCTTGCCCAAGGAAGTTTCTCCACAATCCATCTGTAGACTGGAAGACTCACTGAGAGTTTCCATTTCTGTTATTTAAATGTCCTTATTTTAGCAAGGTATCTTTTTTTGTTGTTTTTGGTTGGTTGTGGGGCTTGAACCCTGAGCCTATTTGTGCTCAAGGCTAGCACTCTTTTAAGACTTGAGCCACAGTGCCACTTCCAGGTTTTTGAGTGATTAATTATATATAAGAATCCCTTGGGGACTTTCCCTCTGTCAGCTTCCAACCCCTATCCTTAGATCTCAGCCTCCTAAGTAGCTAGGATTACAGATGAGATCCACCTGTACTTGGCATTAGCAATGTATCTTATGAAATGCTCAGAATTTACTGCATTTAAAGAAACGGAGGGCCAATGATGTAGTTTAACACATAGCAGACACAGGCCCAGGGTTCAATACCCAGAACCATAAGAAATAACCAAATCAGAACAAAAATTTAACAACTGGATGAGAGTCAGGGTTATAAAAGGTAAATGACAAGCCAGGCTGGATCAGTGGCTCATGCTACTCAGCTACTCAGGAGGCTGAGATCTGAGGATAGAGGTTCATATCTAGCCTGGGCAGAAAAGTCCCCGTGAAACTCAAAAACCAGACAGAAATGGCTCTGGCTGAAGTGGTAGAGTACTATCCTTGAGCACAAAGAGACTCGGGGCAGTGCCCAGGCCCTGAGTTCAAGGCCCACAGCTGACACACACACAAAAAGGTAAATGACTTAAGCCTTAACCACTTCAGGCCTTAATAAAGGCCACTAAGGACAGGGAACTCTGATCCCTAGTCCAGTGCCCTTTAAAAAATTTCTTTATTTTTGGGTCCGGTCATGGGGCCTGAACTCTGGGCCTGGGCACTGTCCCTCAGCTCTTCAGCTCAAGGCTAGCGCTCTACCACTTGAGCCACAGGGCCACTTCCGGCTTTCTTTTTGTTTATGTGGTGCTGAGGAATCGAACCCAGGGCCTCTGGCATGCAAGGCAAGCGCTCTACCACTGAGCCACCTTCCCAGCCCTAGTCCAGTGCTCTTTGAACTGAGTCACAGAATTAGAATCTAGGAGGATTGTAGAGATATTCTATTCCTATCATCTTGGGAATGTAATCTGAAGCGTTTTATTTTGAGAAACAGGCAGGGGGAGTTTTCCTGTATTAAAACAAATGTGGACATGTATAGAATTAAAGTTGTGATTTAAAAAAAAAACTGGGCACTTCACAAGTAGAGTGCTCACCTTGAGCTGAAGAGCTCAAGGATAGCACCCAGGCTCAGAGTTCAAGCTCCAAATGAATAGGTATATATAGCAACTGCTCCATCTCTGTTCCCATGTCCCCTGGGTTATGTTCATTATCACTTAAGTTCTAAGATGCTCACATCTTAAACTCAGCCATTTATTGATGCCTTTGGAGCTTAAAACACAAGGCGTGAAATAATAAGCCCATGTTCCCAGCATTTTGTTAAGGTCTTAATATATGACCTGTCTCTAGCATGCGCCTTTCAGGGCTTTCAAGATTAAATGAGGCTACAAATGTTATTAGTGTAGAAAAGCCTGATAACATAGTATTTAATAAAATGTTATTGGATAAATCAATGAATGTTCTTTTTGTTGTTGTTGTTGTTGTGGGGGTTGAACTCTGGGCCTGGGCACTGTCCCTCAGCTCTTCAGCTCAAGGCTAATGCCATATCAGTTGAGCCACAGTGCCACTTGTGGCTTTTTTTCTGCTTTGTAGTGCTGAGGAATCTAACCCAGAGCCTCATGTATGCGAGGCAAGCATGCTACTACCACTGAGCCAACTTCCCAGCCCAGCCCTCAATGCATGTTCTTTACTATGAATCAGTTGATAGGTTTTCTGCATTTGGTTTAGTAATTAGCAACTCAAAAAAAGACAAAAAGCCCAAATGTGTGATGAATAATTATCAATGGAGAAAGATAAATTTGTGCTGGGTTTCCTTAGTATGTGTTAAGGTAGAAACAGATTTCTGCTCTTGTTCTTGGTTTCAGAACAATTATAATACCTTTCTTTACATTTCTACCTGTATAGTTAGTTTCTCAAGTATATATTCATAATCTGGAGCCAAGATGTTAAATGACAAATCAGAACCACACAGGAAGTTGAGGCACGGAGGAACAGATCCTGTTTTATTGCCTACTCTCAAACTTTTCTACTATCCTTACTGGCTGTACAGCCCTGGAAGAACAGGCCTGTAACTGATTGTTGGCTACAACAGTAAATGTGCTAATGCTGCGTTGCTGTCACTGCAGTTAACATGACCCCATACAGCTTAATACTCATTGAATGAAGCACACAATGTTTCAGACATTGGACCAGGCCAAGTAGTAGTGTAATGATATTTCTAGGAAAAATGTGAGCTGTCTCCAAAATTACTCCTTTGAGATGCAGGAAAATTCAGATGTGTTCTTGTACTGTCTAGAGGTCTCAAGTATTTAAAGTTGTAAGAAGTGAGAGGTTGCGGATTAGAGCCAGTTGACAATTTCTGTGCTAATACACATTACCTAGAACTTAATTGTTACATATAAATATAGTTTGCAATTTTATGTAATGCTTTTTCACAGTTATCATTTGCCAATGTAAGTCAAAGTAAGATAGGCCAAGAAATGGAATAGGAGACTAAGAATGAAACTTAAAACTTGGGGCTTGCGTGTCAGTGTGTAGAGGTCAGTTTTTTTTTTTCAAAAGCAGGTTTTGATCTAGGTTTACTAGGTTGTAATGGCACTAAAATTGAAGTAGAATGGAAAATATGACTACTGCTCATGGTAAGTTCTGTGGAAGTTGTTTCATATGTATTTTTATGAGTTCTCTAGGTGTATATATATGAACTGTTCTTACTCTGGAATTACAGTTGTCATTGCTCTATTACTAAATCCTGACTTCTCATCTGGATAGGCTTTATTTCCCTATCTTCAGTGCATCTGTATATTCCTTGGTTATAGCACACACATTAACACTCATATACCCTCAGTGTTCTGATTGCTCTCTTGTTCAAATGCGTGATAAGCTTTCATTTGAACAGGTTGTTAATATTTGTTATTAAGATCATTCTGGAAGACTTCTTAGTAATCTTCATTCTTTAGCTACATTCTTTTAGTCTTCATTCTGGTACCTCACATAGACTTTCCATCTATATATGAACCAAATTGTCAGCCAACCTTTCTAAATTATGTGTTCACATAAATTGATTATAATCAGTGTGCACATGGCATTGTGTTGGGGTCTTAGAGAGTACAATTGAGTCTGACTGAGGAGAAATAGAAACCATTCAGATGACTGTATCTGATAGAGTAACTTTCTCTTTCTAAAGAGAAAGTAGAAATGGTATTTGCTTTAAGCCTGGCTAGGATTCTTAACCAGTGAAAACTGAAATGTGTATGAAAAGGTTTAAAGGTTTCCAAGTGAAGGGAAAAGCATATAGTAAAGTGTATGCCAGTCTGATGAATGTGATACAAACTTGGAATTGGGATCAATAGCATTGGCTTTGAATTCAGAAATATTTAGGATGGGATATAGTACTCAAAGTACTAGATCTTACTAAAATGCCTATTGGTTATATAAACTTCTGATTTGGTGGATGCATTCATTACATGTTTGGACATGCTTATTCTGCTTAGTGGGAAGATACTTTTAAAAAGATCATCTAGGGGCTGGGAAGGTGGCTCAGTGGTAGAGCGCTTGCCTTGCATGCCTGAGGCCCTGGGTTCGATTCCTCAGCACCACATAAGCAAAAAGAAAAAAGCCGCAAGTGGCGCTGTGGCTCAAGTGGTGTAGCACTAGCCTTGAGCTGAAGAGCTGAGGGACAGCGCCCAGGCCCAGAGTTCAGGCCCCACAACCGGACCAAAAAAAAAAAAAAAAAAGATCATCCAACCCTGAAAAGTGTCCAAGTCATTAGTTGTTATTAAACCACTTAATCGGATTATTTAATTTTAGACCACTTTTCTTGTAGTTGTACATAAATGCTGTAGGTATTCCTTCCATTTGCCTTTGCTTCTAGAAATAGATTGTACAAATAGACTAGGGATTTGATGATGTTAATGTTTAATTTGTGCTTTTTAAAGCATATAAAGTCGGTTGCAAAGCATGTACATACTTGGACCAGTATTTTGTTTTACACATTAAAATACTCATTGTAAGTAATTCGGTTTGACTTAGAAAAACCACGATAAAAATTTCCTACTCTAAATAAATTTTTTGATTTAGTACAGAATGTATGCAGTCTAAAATGCTAGTGCTAGAAGTACTTCTTGTTTGGTCATTCCTGGTCTGAATATCCCAAATCAGAAATGTTCTGAAACTTAAAAATTTCTTATTAGGGATGCTTAACCTATAGTAGGTTGACAGTCTTCACCACTGTCTGTGAAATAGGTATTTGTATTTATAACCCTAGGCAGAAACCCATTTTGCCTTCTGGGATTATTCAAAAGGTAGATTTAAAAAAATCCATGTAACTGAAGTGACTTAGGGCTCTATAAAGTTTTAGTGTTTGAAACTGGAAAGACAGTTTTCAAACTGTAGCTTTTAATTGTAACTTCTCCTCTAAGTTTATACATATAGGTATATTTTGAAGGACTTAAAAAATGTTATTTATTAGCTCTCTACCACTTTGAGCCACAGTTCTACTTCCCATTTTCTGGTGCTTAATTGGAGTCTTAATGGACTTTGCCTAGGCTGGCTTTCAACTGCAGGCTTCAGATCTCAGTCTCCTGAGTAGCTAGGATTACAGGTAGGAGCCACACCCCAGGCAGAAATTGTTATTTTTTTTCTATAAGTAAAAAGTTTTTTCTCCTCAAATCTTTTAAGTGTGTCCATATTCTTCAAATGTAGCATTCTCCTTAAAGGGATAAAAAAGGAAACTATTTTAGGAATACAATACTTTACACGCACTGGCAACATTAGTTTTTATTTATGGTTTTATTTATTAATTGGGGAGATTTTTGTTTCTTTAGTTTGATTGTATTCCTCACAGCAGAGATTCCATACTAAGAAAATGTTTCCTTTTCTATAATGTTAGTATGTTTCATACTAAAAGGGTAGATTCTCTAGCTTCTTTGTACTGAAAAAGGTTGGGTAGGCTCTAAAAAAGAGAAGTTCTGAAGTAAAATAATACTTCATCATTACAAATTCTGGCAGCCTTCTCTTAAACTGTGATCATTGGTGTTTGTTTGTTTGTTTTTGGTGGACGGACATGCTGTTAGCATCACAACTGAAATGAATCAAAAAAGTGTGACACTTGCTCCTAGGTGGAAGCATGTGTCTTTTAAATAATCAGAATCACCATGTCAGCCTGAAACTCCCAGATTAGCCCTTAAGCAGCCTTCAGAGCAATTTCTCTGGTATGTGCTGAATTGTTCTACTAGCTATGACTATTTATTGGCTCAAAATGAATTTTATGTGTGTTTGTAATTATAAACATGTTTGATAGCTTTTTTCTTGAAAACTAAGGGAGAATTTGAGGAACATTTGAAGGAAAGGGGAAGCATTGTGGCCTAGAAATGGATCTCTTTGCTTTATGAGTGGTGGCTTCCCTAGGATCTTTTCAAAATGGAAGGGCCATAGAAGCTGCTCAGATCCCTAATGAGTACCAGATAACACGTCATGAAGTTTGCTGTCTGTCTCGATGGTAAATGTGACAGAATTTTGAGCTTTTCTTAAAACTGGAGTACTTTTTGTTTTAAAATCTCAGGTGAGAAATGGAGTAGTAAATCCTTGTCCTCTCTCCTTCTAAAATAAAAGTTAGAGAAGTGGGAGGAAGCTTGATCAAGAGCTTAGTAAGCTCGAAGCTTCTGAGTTCAAATCCAGTTCTGCCCCCAAAGAGTTAATGATATTTTAATATTTTTAAAGTAATGTTTGAAATATTTAATAACCATGCTTTGATTTTTTCCCCCCCTCCAGGAAAGTCATCAGAGGAAAAAAAGGAAATCAGAATCTATAGGAACAAGTGACCAGATTGATTTGTTGGCTCTTGGTACAGCAGTTGGTAGTATTTTATTGTACAGTACAGTAAAAGGAGAGTTGCACAGTAAATTAATAGTAAGTATATTGACATGTACTTTTATAAAAGATGAGAGGAAATATGATTATAGATGATTACAAGACATCAAGATATGTGATGACATTGTCACTATAGAGGCAGTTTCCCTGCTCTTCTCCGTTTGAAGAACCAAATAGTGATGTGTTACCGGTTGTAGTAACTATCCCTGCTAAATAAAGGTCAGAGGACAAAGAATTACTGTTCAAATAATTGTCCAGGTAGAAGGATGAGGAACTCCAAGGCAGTGCATATAGCAGCTTAAAAGAATACTACTTGTGGTCAAAGGGTACAAAGAAAGCAGTTAAATTATTGCTAATATGATTTGTTAGGCAGTATCACAGTGTGGTTTATTGTCCAACTGGACTCAGTATTCTAGGAATGCTTTCTGTGTGAGAGAACAGAACAGTTTTTCTTGTTATGTAGCATCTACTGATTATCAAACATTAGAGAAATCTACTCCCTCTCACTCTTAGCCCGATCTGAGGCTTGAACTAAGTCTGGACGCTATCACAGAGCTTTTGTGCTCAAGGTTAGTGCTCTATTACTTTGAGCCATATCTCCACTTCTGGCCTTTTTGTGACTAATTGTAGATAAGAGTCTCGTGGACTTTTCTGCCTGGGCTGACTTTGAATCCTGATTTTCATATCTCAGCCTCCTGAGTAGCTAGGATTACAGATGTGAGTCACTATTAATTTGTATTTCTTTGTCAGAAACATATTTTAAACACAGCTAGCTGGCTTCTGTCTGTTTCTTTTTTTTTTTTTGGAGGTTTTTTTTTTTTGGAGGGGGGGGTCCAGTCGTGGGGCCTGAACTCGGCCTGGGCACTCTCTCTCAGCTCTTGAGCTCAAGGCTAGCACTCTACCACTTGAGCCACAGCGCCACTTCCGGCTTTTTTTTTTTTTTGCTTATGTGGTGCTGAGGAATCAAACCCAGGGCCTCACGCATGCAAGGCAAGCACTCTACCACTGAGCCACCTTCCCAGCCCTGTCTATCTGTTTTATATCTTATTTTTTGTGCTGGTTTGGGGGCTTGAACCCCCAAGACTTTGCTTTAGCTTTGTCTCCCATATTCCAAGAAGACATTGTGTTTACCTTAAGAAGTGGTGATTTATTTTTTTCCTTTATTTTTTTGGCCAGTCGTGAGGCTTGAACTCTGGGGCTTGGGCGCTGTCCCTGCGCTCTTCAGCTCAAGGCCAGTGCCTTACCGCTCGAGCCACAGTGCCACTTCCAGTTTTCTAGTGGTTTATTGGAGATAAGAGTCTCACGGACTTTCTTGCTCAGGCTGGCTTTGAACTGCAATTCTCAGATCTCAGCCTCCTGAGTAGCTAGGATTACAGATATGAGCTACTGGTGCCCAGCTTTTTTTTCCTTTTTATACATCCTCTTGCTAGCTATGTAGCCTAGGCTGGCCTTGAACTAGTGATCTTCCTGCCTCAGTTTCCTGAGTTCTGGGATTGCAGATAAAGGTAATATAGCCAGTCAAGAACGATGAAGGTTCTAGGTTAGCTTGGATAAAAAGTTACTAAGACACAGTGTCTCAATAATCTGGGCATTATGGCAAATCCCTTTGGTCCCATCTATAAGAATAGACTTGAGGATTGAGGCCCAAGGTTGGTTCCAGGCAAAAACAAAACAAAAAACCAACACACCCCCTTAAACAACACCCCATTACAATGACAAAAAAATTAAACCCTTGACCAGACCAGTTAGCGACTTGACTGAACCTTAGAATAGTAAGTGTGAATTCAAAACCCCAGCATAACCAAAAATAAATGAACAAACAAAGTTAATTTTGGACTCGACTTCAATGCTTCATTTTGTTGTTGTTAAAAATCTTAGAATTGGCATTCATGTTCAAAAGCAAATCAAATGACAGAACTAGTATTTGAGTTAGTGTTCTTCGTAGGTTTTCCTTATGAAGGAGAAGGGAAGTTAATATTTCAATAAAGTTCTAGTTTGTTTGTCCTCTTTCTCATGTTAGAAAACTATGAAGTGGATGTGTGCATGTTAAGGCTTTATTTAGGTTTAGATCTAACATTTGGTAAAGTGGTAATGACTCTAGAATACCCTATTCTATAAGATACCTTGTAGGATATAATATTTAAGGTTATACCTCATCTTATACCTTATCATGAGGCAATTTTTTTTTCTTTTTTTAAAAAAATCTGCAGAGTGGTGGACATGACAACAGAGTCAATTGCATACAGTGGCATCAAGAGAGGGGCTGCTTATATAGTTGTTCAGACGATAAATATATTGTGGAATGGAACTTAGAGACCTGCAAAGTGAAATGGTGAGTAAGTTTGATTGGGGTTGGAGGTTGGCTCAGTTAACTGTTTGCAAATGCATTAGGGTTTGATATATCTTGCCCTAGACAGTGGGAAATATAAACACAAATAAGGTTATAAAGCCTTCTTATTAAGGAACATTGAATCAAATCAAGTTGGGCATGTAATGTTTCAGTAAATAAAAAGAAATTGTAGGTGCTAGAAGGTGGCTCAGTGGTAGAGCATTTGCCTTGCAGGCATGAGGCCCTGGGCTCCGTTCCTCAACACCAATAAGCAAAAAAAGCCAGAAGTGGTGCTGTGGCTGAAGTGGTAGAGCGCTAGCCTTGAGCTGAAGAGCTAAGGGACTGCGCCCAGGCCCAGAGTTCAGGTCCCTGACTGGCCAAAAAAAAAAAAGTAAGTTGTAAAATTGTATAAAAAGCTGTCATAAGGTAAAATGATTACTTGTAGCAAGTACTGGTGTAAGAGAAAGGGTTTCAGTTTGACTTCCTAGACAGCTAAGTTTGAATAGAGGAGAGCAGGGAGATGGACTTCCAAGAGTGAACAAAGGAAGGTAAGGGAATGATAAAAGCCAAGGAGGTAGGAAAGTGAAAGATGAATTTGTAGTGAGTAAACTGGAGGAAAGGTAGATAATGGCATGGTAGAGGATAAAAATATCCTTCAGTGAATAGATACTAATGGCAATAAGACAAATGATTTCAGGGTTTTGAGAAAAGTTAAATTTGAAATCATGTTAATGTAAAACAAGACCCAGCAGACAAGGTGGTTAAAGAAGCTAAGGTACAGGTAAGCCAGGTAGTTGCAAAGTGTTTTCATTCCATTTACCTGTAGTGATACTTCCCACACTGGCCACCTGCCTTGGAGAGACTGATCCAATGAGTCTGAGTAAGGGCCATGTTACTGTATTTGGAATGGAAGTTAAGACTGGTTGGTATTTCATAGATATGTGTGAACCTTTTTGTTCCTGTCAGGCCTCAAAATCATTCAGCACATAGTGGGACAGACATGTACTTTTTCTTGTCTGTGTACAACTGACCCATGGCAAGAAAAAATTCCCCACCCTTAACATAGAGATTGGCCAATGTTGAAGGCACTTTTGAGCACATAGACACATAGATTTAGTCACATTATGAGGTCAGCGCTGTTCCCGTTTCATATTTAAGAAATAGGTTAAATAACAGCTTGACCTGTTTTCCACTAAATTGTACTATTGGATAAACTAATGGGTTTCTAGTTTCATTCTTAGCATCCTTATGGTGATGTCAATTGATTTTTTTTTTACCCCCTTCCATTTTAGATAACTAATTTCCTACTAAGGAAGAAAAGGATTTTAACTTTTATTTTCCTTCTACCTCTTCCTTCTCCCTTTATTGTTATATTAGTTGTGGTTCAGCAGTATTTGTTATTTACACTGAGTCATGTTAAAACTGAGGTTTAAAATGTCCTAGGTTTACATTTTCTTTTTGGTATGCCAAAAAGTTTATTGGTTTGCTTTTTCTTGGAGTTTGTAATTGTCTTACTACTTAATTAAATATTTTCCAAAGTATGTTTATCATTAATATATTGTCACTCTTGCAAGTGTAATTCTCAGTTGTAGACACATCCATTTGTCAGTTGTTCATTTATTTTTGCCTTCTCTGTGCTCCTCTGTTAGTCTCATTCTCCCTCCTATTTCTTTTGGTGGTATTGGGGTTTGACTTCCAAGCCCCATGGGGTTCTACTTCTCTAAGCTAGGCCTTTGGTCCTGTTTTTTCACTGGATGGGATTTTGCTCTATTTTGTTTCCTACTGTGGCTTGAGTGACAGGCACACATCACTGTGTCCAGCTTCCCTTTGTTGAGATGGATGGAGTATTAGGAACTTTTCTGCCCAGACTGGCCTGGGACCACAATCCTCCCATTCTTGGTTTGGTTTCCAGTAGCTAGCTTTTGGCTTGAGATTTTATTTCTTGGAGAATTTGTCTTCATGTGAAGCAGGAAGTGCCTGCCAAACAACTACTACTGTGGTTCCTTTCATCATTTGCCTGAAAATTGTCTCTTTGCTGATGGGCCCTATTTCTCCCTTTGTTTAGTTAGCCCTGCATCTTTTCAGGGAGCCCATCAGTTGGTAGCTTCCTGAGAAAAAGGGTGCATATGGGGGTTGAGTTCTGGTTGTTCACCAGTGTCTTTGAACCCTGACAGTTGATGGATAATTTGAAGATCAAAAGAGTAAGGTTGGAAATAGTTTTCCCTCAGGAGTTTTTCTTGTTTTTTTTTTGCTATTTTCTTTTGAGTGTGTTATGTTTTGATTTGTTCATTTGCTTTACTTCCTGTTTTTCATGTTGAAGGAAGGCATTCTTCAGATTGCAGAAGATCCTTGACTGGCTGTTGCTATTTGAAAAAGAAATGTTAAAAAGCTGACTGGAAGCCGGGCACCAGTGGCTCATGCCTGTAATCCTAGCTACTCAGAAGGCTCAGATCTAAGAACCCCGGTTCAAAGCCAGCCCGGGCAGGAAAGTCTGTGAGACTCTTATCTCCAATTAACCACCAGAAATCTGGAAGTAGAGCTGTGATTCAAGTGATAGAACATTAGTCTTAAGCTTAGCAACAGTGCCCAGGTCCTGAGTTCAAGACCAGCACAGAAAGAAAAAGCAAGCTATTAACTAGAAGGCTTTGTTCTCAACTTGTGGAGGGATCTGGAGGCCTTTTGTTAGTATATGTATGTTGTTTCTTGGAACCCATCTTATTTCCCAGATGGAAACATTCCACTCCTTTAAAATGTTTAATATAATTGGTAGTATCCATATATTGTATGTATGTGCACACAGACATGATACAGTAATTCTGATAGGCTAGACCTGAAAAGATCTTAGATGATGAAGATACAGGAACATTATACTATGAGTTGCAAAATTCTTGCTGTGTAGGGTTAGGATATGCTGCAGGGGGACCTAGTAATAGTATTAACCTTCAGTGTGGAGTGGGAAGATAGATTCAGAAAGTGTCTCAGCTTCCTATAGGCAAGTAGGGACCAGGGTTTCTTATTATTATAAATGAATGTAGTGAAAATATTAGGTAATGAGTATTTGTGAGTCTTGAAGCTGTGGGAGTTGCTAAATAGGAAATTGGTAAAAACTTGTGGGAATGTGGCTTAGTGGTAGAGTGCTTCCCTGCCATGCATGAAGCCCTGGTTCAGTTCCTCGGTATCACATAAACAGACAAAGCCAGAAGTGGCACTGTGGCTCAAATGGTAGGGTGCTATCCTTGAGCAAAAGAAGCTCAGGGATTGTGCCTAGGCCCCAAGTTCATACCTCAGTTCTGGCATAGATAAAAAAGATTGACAAGAGTTTAGAAGTCAAGACAAAGGAAGAAAGTTCTTTATGCTTTTTATACTTGAGTACATACATTTCTTTGAACTAGTTTTATGTTTATCAACAATTTGTCATGTCTGTTGGTTTCTTTTGTATTCATTTGAATTCTTACTAATGCAAAGGAGTTATTTATCTATTCTTAATATATACTAAGTATTACTCCTTTGTAACCTATAATTTAGTAGGTGAATAGCCAGTGTCATTGCCTCCTTACTATCCTAAAAAGGTGAACCTTTCCATTACACTGGCAATACAAATGACTTTTCAAGAATGATTAGAAACTTGACTCTTCACAATCTGTTTCTAATCATTCTTGAGTATGAGAAAGGAATTACCTGTACCCAGTTTCAGTTTACAGTGGTAGTTCATCTGTGTAGATTTGGCATGGAAATCACCTTTTGGATTTTTTTGGGGGGTTATTTTGAGGCTGTAGTTTGAAAAGTCATTTGTATTGCCAGTGTAATGGAAAGGTTCACCTTTTTAGGATAGTAAGGATTGTGGTGAGAATAGATGGGCTTGTGGAGGTCCAGCTAGCTTGGTAGTTTTCTGATCATTAGCAGCTTGTCTCATGAGTCACAGGATACACAGCTCTCTATTTTGCATTCTTCTAACTTTTTTTTTTTGTCAGTCGTGGGGCCTGAACTCTGGGCTTGGGTGCTGTCCCTCAGCTCTTCAGCTCAAGGCTAGCGCTCTACCACTTGAGCTACAGCACCACTTCCTCTTCTCACTCTTAACCTACCCATTTCATGGCATATCTGGAAGATCTTCATTCTGTACTTCCTAGAGGGAGATTATGCAAGAGTACCCCATCAAGGAGACTTCTTTATGGTGGTATGCAAGAATACTACCCTAATATAACTTAGGGAGTACAGTTTGGTGTAGGTAATATTTATAAATGTTGAGGTTTTCTTTTGTTCTGCTCTGAGTAAAATATTCCCCCATTTATTGAGATGTATTTGCTTGTCTTCACACTACAGCAAGTGGAAAGGAGACAATAGCAGTGTCACTTCCCTGTGTGTTAGTCCAGATGGAAAGATGTTGCTTTCAGCTGGTCGAACAATCAAACTCTGGGTTTTGGAAACTAAAGAAGTCTACAGAGTAAGTGAATCAAAACTATTTCTAAGCATAACAATGTATAAAGCATCTATGGGGGAAGACAAATGGATGAGCTGCAGAATGTTATTTTAAGAATACTTGTAGACGGGCACCAGTGACTCAAGTCTGTAATCCTAGCTACTCAGGAGGCTGAGATCTGAGGATTGTGGTTGAAAGCAGGACGTGCTGCCTGGGCAGGAAAGCCTGTGAGACTCTCATCTCCAATAAACTTCTCAGAAAAAGCTGGAAGTTGTACTGTGGTTCAAGTGATAGAGTGCGAGCCTTGAACACAAAGAGGCTCAGGGACAGTGCCCGGGACCTGAGTTCAAGCCCCAGGACTTGTACACACAAAAGAAGATATTGGTAGCATATGGTTGTAGTCCTTGCTCTCAGGAGGATCACTTGAGCCCAGGAGTTTAGGCCAGCCTGGGCCAAATGGTAAGAATCTATCTCAAGAGTTACAACCATCGACCAAATCTAAACCAAAATCGATTCTGTATTTGTAAGTATTTCAGATAATAGGATTAACAGAAATCACCTTCCAAATCTGACTTTCTGACAGGTTACATATGTTGACATGAATTCGAAAAATGAGTAAACCAAATAAATGGAAATTGAAATAAACTTTTATTTTGCTATGGAATAATAAGCTTAGCATTTTTGTACGTAGTTTGCACTTAGCATTTCTTCTAGTTATAGTTTAACTGGGGACCTATTAGGAATAATCAGTTGCACTAAGGGGTTACTGAACTTGGTGCAATGATGATGCCTTAATTGTGGTTTCGACTCACTGAGAGTAAAATGAGGACCTACAATTCCTTGGCTGTGTCTGAGCGCTGAGCACCCCTTTAAAGTAGATAGAAATTGAGTGAATCTAACTAAAGCAAAAGGAAGAAAAAATACTTGGGTAGGATCATGAAAGACCAAGGCATATCTTTAGTACTTGCAGATAGTACTGAAAAAAAGTATTGAATATTGTGTAGACATTTTAATAAGTGAGATTATAATACTAGTAATTTGGTTTGCTTAGAGTTACATTCAACTGTTACTTTGTTGGGCTCTGCTGTCAAATGTATAATATCTAGTTTGTTTTTGATACACGTGTGCGTTACTGTTATGAAGTCATTCTCCTAAATGAGATACAACTTTATCCAGCACTTCACAGGACATGCAACGCCAGTGTCAACACTTATGTTCACTACTGTTCGACCTCCCAATGAGAGCCAGCCTTTTGATGGAATTTCAGGTCTTTATTTCTTATCTGGAGCAGTACATGACCGGTTACTTAATGTCTGGTAGGTAGTTGTTTTGGATTTGGGAGTTTAAACCTAGATTAATACAAATGATAAGTATGATAATTGTTTTTATTGTATTTGATGTTGAAACTACCTTGACTTCAAGAATTGAATGCCTAAAAATAAGTCTTTTTGAGAAAAAAATTGGGAGCATTCATAATAGACACCTTTTTTTAGAATGTTTTTGATTAGCAAATATACAGCACAATTGTCTTGTCTGAGTTATATATTGTCTTCATGAGGCCTTGTACTTAGGAACACTATATGGCACTTTAATACTTGATTTATGGGATATGTTATAAACAGTGAAGTCACTGACTAAAATGAGAAAAAAATCCACACAATCAATAGACACTTGTTTATAGTATGAGAGCTGAAATAAGGCAGAGTTGCCTTCCTTCATTCACTCTCAGTTGGGATCATTGAGCTGTGGGTCATTAATGTTTTTATTGGTTTGCAAGAATAGTGATTTTGAAGAATAAATTTTGGCTAGGCGCTGGTGGCTCACGCCTGCAATCCTAGCTACTTAGGCTGAGATCTGAGGATCATGAGTTCAAAGCCAGCCTGGGCAGGAAAGTCCATGAGATTCTTTATCTCCAATAAACCATCAGAAAACCGGAAGTGGTGCTATGGCTTAAGCTAGCCTTGAGCTGAAGAGCTGAGGGACAGTGCTCAGGCCCAGAATTCAAGCCCCATAACCAACCAAGCAGCCAGATTTACACAAGAATCTGAATAACAGGGACTTTGTGCATTTGTGTGTGTGTGTGTGTGTGTGTGTGTACATTTGTGTACATATATGTGTGAATGAATACATTTATACATCTGTATGTATATATATATATATGTGTATGTTTGTAGACACACAGTTTACTGACTTTCTGTACTGTTCTCTATTAATGAAGTGAATTTTTCCCAAATTTACTGTAGCTATGAGTGCAATGCCAGTCAAAATCCCAGTATCACTTTTTGTAGAAATTGACAGATTTTAAAGTTCAACTAGAAATGTAAAGGACATAGAACTTTGCAAAAGAAGAGACCAGACAATATTAGTCTGATCTCAGGACTTCTCAAGGTGTAAGCATCAATGCAGTGTGATTGACAGATGCTTGCCAGATGTTTAGCTGCTTTTTTTCTTTTCTTTTCTTTTCTTTTCTTTCTTTCTTTTTTTTGTCGGTCGTGGGGTTTGAACTCTGGGCTTGGGCGCTGTCCCTACGCTCTTCAGCTCAAGACCAGCACCCTACCTCTTGAGCCACAGTCCCACTTCTGGTTTTCTAGTGGTTTATTGGAGATAAGAGTCTCACGGACTTTCTGTCTGGGCTGGCTTTGAACTGCGATCCTCAGATCTCATCCTCCTGAGTAGCTAGGATTACAGGCGTGAGCCACCCACCGGCGCCTGGCTTATATGCTTTTTTCTAAAGCAAACATATTGCAATATAACTCTGACATAATTTTGTTTCAGGATTCTCTAGTGTGATTTCCCTCTTGTGTAAAACTGTCATTTTACCTAATGGCTTATTTGTTATCTAGGCAGGTCCGGTCAGAAAGCAAAGAAAAGAGTGCAGTAATGTCTTTCACAGTTACAGATGAACCTGTTTTTATTGACTTGACTTTGTCAGAAAACAAAGAAGAGGTAAGTGGCTTGTTATTTGAGAATTGGTTTTAGATTGTATAAAACTTACTTTGAAAATCAAAGTGTAGATGTGAGGGAGTAATGATAAAATGTAACCAAAATATTCTTAGCTCATTGGAGTAACTCCTAAATCACTGAGAAGCTTCATGTGCGGAACAGGAATGCTTGTAATCAAAGACTACTTTTTGTCTGTGTGCATGTGTGTGTGCATGTATGCCAGTATTAGGGCTTGAACTATCACTGGAATCACAGATCCACTTTAGCTTTTTGGTGGTTAATTGGAGACTTTTCTGCCCGGACTGGCTTTGAACCTTGATCCTTGTATCTCAGTCTTCTAAGTAGCTTAGATTACAGATAGGTATGAGCTACCTGTGCCCCATTCAATGATTATATATGTATTTAAATTCATTAAGTTACTTATTAAAAGTCATTGATATATGTATGGTTGCTATATTAGATGCAGTTTTGTGGTTATAAAAAGGCGTACTTTGTTTCATACTTTTTTATATTTTAGAATTTTTCATGTAAAAATTATAAATTTTAATGATTTTCATATCTCCGTTAAATACATTTGATTAATTGAAGTGCTTTATTTTTCATGTTTTTTTTTGGAACTAGTATTAAGAGATTGAGCCAGCAAGAATCCTACTTAATGAAAGGAAAGGCATAAGGATTTTCACTTTTAAGTCTAGCCTCTTCTCATGTTTTATAACCTTCTTACTTGTATTTAGAGATAATTTAGAAGTTTTTGTATGTCTTAGTATTTTTTTAAAAGTGTAACAGAAGATCTGGTTTAGATACTGATTGTACTTTTAACAATCTTGGCTTTCTGATGTACGATGGGGCATTGCTGATTATATTGGGAGAGCAGAGCCAGGAGTGGTTTTAAGTACTTAAAAATATTTTTTAGAGGCTGGGAAGGTGGCTCAGCGGGAGAGTGTCTGCCTTGCATGCATGAGGCCCTGGGTTCAATTCCTCAGCACCACATAAGCAGAAAAAGCCGGAAGTGCCACTGTGGCTCAAGTGGTAGAGTGCTGAAGGACAGCACCCAGGCCCAGAGTTCAGGCCCCATGACTGGCAAAGAAATTTTTTTTTTTTAGTAAAAATAACCGCAAAATAGCTTTGTAAAGTTAGGGGCATGGGATTGGATTGTCTGTATTCATTGTGATCAGTGCACTGACTAGGTCATGATAATCAGAAGTTTTGATCAGAGGAGTCTGATACCAAAGGAATTGCTTTGGTATTTGTTTCCATATTACATGCAAAAGATTTAATTTCAAAGTGACTTTCTGAACAATTTTACACTTTTTTATTATATGTATGTGTGTGGTTTTTGGGGGGTTTAATTAAATCTTACTGAAAGTAACAAGTTGCTGTGGATATTAGCTCAGTGGTAAAGCACTTGCCGAATACAAGACCTTGTGTTCCATGGACTAAGAATGCGGCTCAGTGGTAGAGTGCTTGCCTAGCATGCTTGAAGCCTCAGTACCACATAAATAGAAAAGGCTGGAACTGGCACTGTGGCTCAAGAGGTAACTAGTCTTGAGTATTTGGAGGCTCAGGACAGAGCCCAGGCCCTGAGTTCAAGTCCTGGAACCAGGAATAAAAAAAGAACCTGGGTTTAATTCACAGTACTCAAATGAAAGTAAGAAGCAAAAAAAAAAAAACAAAAAACAAAAAAAAATGAAGGAGGAAATGAGGGAGGGAGATTGACATGGTAAGGAAAATCATTGCAATCCCACGCCAAGCTTGCCCTAGTCTATTTAGATTATAAACCTAGTCTTGCTTTATATTTTTCTGTCTGAATCCTTTTGCTACTTTTAGATACAGTTCATTTTATCTTGTTACAAGGTTCACATTCTTAAAATGATCAATAATAAAAGTAAAGGAAAGAATAACTACTTTTTAAAAAAGATTTTGAAGCCTGAAGGTAGCTTGTCCCTGTAATTCTAGTGACTCAGGAATTGCCATATGAGGATCGTGGGATCACAGTTCAAAGCCAATCTGGTCAAAAAAGTCTAGGAGACTCTTATCCTAGTTTAAACACTCTCTTGCCCCAATACTAAAGTGGAGCTGTGGCTTAAGTGGTAGAATACTATCCTTTAGTGAAAAAGCTAAGGGACAGTGCCCGGGTCCTGGGTTCAAGTCCCAATATGGCATAAATAAGAAGAGCAAAAACTTGAACCAGTCCCAGTACCAGTACACAGAAAAAAAGAAAGATATTGAAGATAATAAACTAAGTGATGAAACTGAGAAGCCACATTCTTCTCTAATTGTGACATGTAAAACTGATTATGGCACATTGCAAAATTGTAGTTCCAGGGCTGGGAAGGTGGCTCAGTGGTAGAGCGCTTGCCTTGCATGCTCGAGGTCCTGGGTTCGATTCCTCAGCACCACATAAGCACAAAGAAAAAAGCCGGAAGTGGCACTGTGGCTCAAGTGGTAGAGTGCTAGCCTTGAGCTGAAGAGCTGAGGGATAGCGCCCAGGCCCAGAGTTCAGGCCCCACGACCGGACCAAAAAAAAAAAAAAATTGTAGTTCCAGTAGTAATAAAATTCCAAACTAAACTTTGGTCTATGATTATACAGAATTTCAATTGTCCAATAATGGATTTCCAATATTTCTAGACAGTTTGGGATTAGATTTTGAATCTGTTAATAGGATATCCTTAAAGGGAAACTTTCACATGCTGCTTAACCTTAAAATGTATGAACTTTTAAGAACATCTGTCCTCAGATTTCTTGTCTTTAACTACTAGTAAATGGGTTCTGGTAGCTCATGCCTGTAATCCTAGCTGTTCAGGAGGCTGAGATTGTGGTTCAAACCCAGCCCTGGGAGGAAAGTCCATGAGACTCCTAACTCTAGTTAACCACCAAAAGCTGGAAGTGGTACTATGGCTCAACTGGTAAGGCAGTAGCCTTGAGCAAAAAAGCTTGGAGAGCATCCAGGTCAGGTACCTAAACAAAAATGTTCCTAAGTGCTTTCACAATGCTACATGGAGCCTAACATACTTACTCTTATTTACAGTTTAGAATACAGATGGGAGCTTTTAAAAAATGCTAAAAATTCACTTATACAGCCTTCATTAAGAAAGTTTCAGCTGGGCGCCGATGGCTCATGCCTGTAATCCTAGCTACTTAGGAGGCTGACAGCTGAGGATCGTGGTTCAAAGCCAGCCCGAGTAGAAAGTCCGTGAGACTCTTATCTCCAATAAACCACTAGAAAACCGGAAGTGGCGCTGTGGCTCAAGCAGTAGAGTGCTTGCCTTGAGCTGAAGAGCTGAGGGACAGCTCTCAGGCCCAGAGTTCAAGGCCCACGACCGACCAAAAATAAAAAAAGTTTCAAGGGGTGGGAATGTGGCTCAGTGGTGGAGTGCTTGCCTGACATGCATGAAGTCCTGGGATCGATTTCTTAGCACCACATAAACAGATAAAGCTGGAAGTGGTGCTGTGGCTCAAATGGTAGAGTGCTAGCCTTTAGTAAAAGATCAAGGACAGTGCCCAGACCCTAAGTTCAAGCCCCAGGACTGGCAAAAAAAAAAAGTTTCAGTACCTAAAAGGAGAATGTTCACAGATCACTGGAACTGGAGGCTTGTCAGCAAGAGATTAGTTGATAGCAGCATTCAGACTATTGGGATACAAAAATTGGCAGTACAGGCTGGGAAGGTGGCTCAGTCGTAGAGCGCTTGCCTTGCATGCCTGAGGCCCTGGGTTCAATTCCTCAGCACCACATAAGCAAAAAGCCAGAAGTGGCGCTGTGGCTCAAGTGGTAGAGTGCTAGCCTTGAGCTGAAGAGCTGAGGGACAGAGCCCAGGCCCAGAGTTCAGGCCCCACGACCGGATCCCCCCCCCAAAAAAATTGACAATTCCGGAGGAATTAAAGTGATGATAGTTTAGGTCTCTATACCACTAATTGCCAGCAATAGATAGGAAATGGCATTTTAAACTGCCTGAGAATTCCACACAGCTCTTCTTCGAGGCATGTTCAACCAGCTATTGCCCTTGATTGAAACTTAGTTCATCTAACTTTGAGGTTTTATTTTCTGTGTTATACTTCTATTATGCTGGTTCTGGGGCTTGAACTCAGGGCTTGGGCTTTGTCCCTTAACCTTTTCTCTAAAGGCTAGAGCTCTGTCTACCACTTTGAACCACAGTGCCACTTCTAGCTTTTGGGTGGTTAATTGGCAATAAGGAGTCTCCTAGACTTGGCCTGTGTTGGCTGGCTTTGACTCTAATCCTTAGATCTTGGCCCCCTGAGTAACTAGGATTACATATAAGAGCCATGGGCGCCTGGCTCATGTTACCTTCTTGACCTAGGTATTGACTGTTGACAAAAACAACACTAATTGCTATTTTGTTAGAGGTAATTACTTTTAAATGTATTTTTGCTGTTTTTTTCCTTTGGTGGGGTGGGGAGAATTGAATTATCTTAAGTTAGATTGGAGGATTGAGCTCATTATTCATTATAGTTAATCAGCCACATTTTTCTTTTAGCCTGTCAAGTTAGCTGTTGTTTGCAGAGATGGTCAGGTCCATCTTTTTGAACACGTATTAAATGGGTAAGTTTTTCAAGTCAGGAATTTATTTCTGATTTTCTCTTATTTGTTCATACTTCCATCTTGTTATTATTACTATGTTTGCGTCTTGTTAGATTGTTAGAAGTATTTTTTCTTTTTTTGGTGCCTTCCTGTGGCTTGAAATTGAGGTTTGGACACTGTTCCTGAATTTCTTTTGCGCAAGGCTACTGCTCCACCAGTTGAGCCATAGTGCCAATTTTGGCTTTTTCTGAGTAGTTTATTTGAGATAAGAGTCTGAGGGACCAGAATGTCAGTGTACAAAAGGAAGTGTACTTACTACTGGATATATATAAATAAAACCCTGTTGTATATCACCTCTAAAATGACAATAAATTTAAAAAAAAGTCTCAGACTTTCCTGACCTGCCTGGGCTGACTTAGATCAGATTTGTAATCTTCAGATCTCAGTCTTCTGAATAGCTAGGATTACAGGGCTTGAGCTACTTTCGCCCAGCAGGAAAATATTCATTGCTTGTCCATATTAATGCAGTATGAACTCAAGCATTTAGAATCATATGTCATGGTTAGAAGAGTGGCTTTTTATCGTGTACTTAGTAAGTTTTGATGATTGCAATGAAGAATTTAAGTTTTGGAGAGTTTTGCTTACTTACATGTAGACTTTGCTAGCCTTAAACCGAACTCCCCTCCCCCTAACCTTGTGCCCCTTGGTCCTGGTGCTATCCTGTGGTGCTCACTACCACTTGAGTCACAGCCCTACTTTTGGCTTTTTAGTGGTTAATTGGAGATAAGAGTGTTCTAGACTTTCCTGCTTTGACTAACTATGAAACTTAGATCTCAGCCTCGAGTAGTCAGGATTACAAGTGTGAGCCTTAATCTAGCCTTAATTTTATCTTCCACTTTCCCTTCCCTTACATATGTGTGTGGATCTGTAAAGTGTTTAGTAGACAGAAGAGTAGAGTTGGTAATCTTTACAGACCAGATTTAGTAACCTCTAGCCTTTAAAGCATAAAATACTTACTTTTAGCTCTAAAGAAAATGCTTGTCAGATCACTATCAATGCAATCTGTGACTCATTTATATTTACAGTTAGGTTAAATTTTAAAATGGTTTTAACCCTTTTATTAATACCTTCAGTAGCATTTGTCTAGGAATTTAAATTTTATAGACTAATTATCAAAGAAAGTAGTGTGTACTTAAAAACTTTCATGGGAACTGCGGATATATCTCATGAGTAGTGTTTGCCTAGCATGGGTGATGTTTTTGGCAGCATTACCTCCCCCTGTCTCCCTAAAAAGCCCCAGAAAATTTAAATCTCTCTTCAGTGAGATCTCCTAGAGATCACATTTCAGTGTGTGGCACTTGCAGCTTTTATCTACGTAGTGAAGAATGTACATGTCAAGAAATAGTGTTTTCTGGTGAGGACTTAAGCATTTTTTGTTTGACCTAAGTTTTAAGAGTCATTCTGTGATGAATTTCCTAAAGAGAGATAAAGGCCAAAGCAGACACACCAAAGAAACCCCTCTGCATTTAGAGATAGTTGTGGCAGTGGATTCTAGGATGAACGATGGACAGGGACATTATGGGACAGGAGGATGCATAAAGTTGTGATTGTAGAGTGTGTGTGTACTCAACTGGAATGAATGTGTGGCTGAGATAAAGTGAAGCACATGGCATTAGACACTATAGCATTTGAGTATTCTTGATACAGGAATCAAGAGTATTGTTGTAAAGAATAACAGCCAAAGGGGGTTGCACTGATCAAAAAATGGTGTTATAAATTGATGAGTTGAGCTGAAACCAATTTGTACTATTTAAAGACATGTGAAAGGTGTGACTGAGATGCAGCTAGAGGGAGAAGGGAGAAATAACTGATGAGGTAACAATTTAGTTTTTGTGGGAGAGATTGTTGAAATGTCACTAAAAACATGTCCATGCCTAAAGCACAAAAGTTGTTAGAGAAAAAATGGCTATAACTTTGGAGGATGCAAGGATGAGTTAGGGTAGAGGAAGAAGGTGAAGAGTACCTTTAGAGAAGACATGGAGAGCATATTGATACTAGAATTGCATTCAAGTTGGACTGAGGCTTTTGGGGATTGGGAATTATTGTGGATAGGACCAAATGGCAGAAGGGCACATAGGATTGAAAGATCATTTAGGGGTTTGATGCCTCCTAACTAAATGAGATAGAGGAGTAAGTTGTTCTGTGTGTGTGTGTGTGTGTGGTCTTGTTGCATTTTTGTAACTTGAGAGAATTAATAAGAGATGTGTTATTTCATATTCTCTAATCTTCTTTTTCCTCCATTTCTAGACATTGCAAAAAGCCTTTGAAGTCCAACTGCACAATTCAAATAGCAACGCCTGGGAAAGGCAAGAAATCATCACCAAAACCCATCCCTATTCTAGCAGCTGGCTTCTGCACAGACAAAATGTCTTTGCTGCTCGTGTATGGAAATTGGTTTCAGCCTACTATTGAGCGAGTGGTATGTATATGTTATTCTGGGATAGAAACATTCAGCATTAAACTGTATGGAAAAGATTGATTTTTTTTAAAAAAGAAAGCCACATTTGCAAACATTTAATTAAAGGACCTTTCACTGTTTAATTTGTAAGACTTTTGTTCAATCCAAGATGCCTATAATACCATTTTCAGACCTAGGTGAGATAAAATATTGCTTGAGATGGCAACTTCCCCTTTCCAGTGTCCTATTTTAGAAATGTGTTTTATACAATAGCCACATTAAAAGATGCTAGTTTTGCTTGTACTGAGATTTGAACTTAGGGCCTCATGTACGCTCAGCTTTCTTGCTCAAGGCTGGTGCTCTACCACTTGCACCACCACACTTCCAGATCTTTTTGCTGGTTGGTTATTTTGGAGATGATGCCTCTCAGAATCCTGCTTGGGCTGGCTTGGAACTACGATCCTCCAGGTTTTAGCCTCTTAACTAGATATCCAGCTCATACTCACCATTTTTCAGGATGTATTTTCCTAGTGGCTTTGTTTTGGTCAACACAGTTATGACCTATTAACTAATTTAACTCCATTAAGAGCCTTAGAGGTAGCACACTTTGAATTTTTAAGTGGAAATAGGCAGTACAGTGACTTTGTTTTTTACCATGAAATTTCTTTAAATTTATTCTGAGTTACTGGCTGTGTTCTTAGGTGGTAATACCTCACTCTTGGGAAGACTACGTAGATGTTTACATGGCCAAGAAAATGTTCTTCTTGATTTAATTGAAAAAATGCTTTCTTTTTCTGTCTTTTTTTCTGAGGTGCCAGGTCCCAAGTACTAGGCCCTCATATGTCCTAGGCAAGCACTCTACTATTGAGCCACATTCTTATCACAGAGTACTTTTTTTTTTTTTTTTTTTTTTTGGTGGGGCCTGAACTCTGGGCCTGGGCGCTGTCTCAGCTCTTCAGCTCAAGACTAGCACTCTGCCACTTGAGCCACAGCGCCACTTCCAGCTTTTCTTTTTTTTTCTTCTGCTTATGTGGTGCTGAGGAATCAAACCCAGGGCCTCAGGCATGCAAGGCATGCGCTCTACCTCTGAGCCACCTTCCAAGCCCCCCTGGGCTGGCTTTGAACTGTGATCTTCAGATCTCAGCCTCCTAAGTAGGGTAGATTTTTCTTTATAACATGTTGACCTGCTGTAGCTTTTAAAATCTGCTACATCTTAAAGCTCTTGGCCTTTTAAAACTGTGTATAAGAAAAATTGAAATAACTCATAACTAGAGAAGTAAGCATTGAACCCATGTTTTCAATTGACTCCCTAACTCAGCTGCTGTAGTCTGAGTGGTGACTGTCGCTAACAGTCATCACTGTTACATATTTTTCTATTTGTATTACATATTTATTGTGTATTTTTATAGTTGTATTTTTATAAAAATGTACAATTTTTCACTTGTTCTTATTCCAAGTTGCTTGTTTGGCATTGTTTATTTTCTTTCACACCTTTCCTTCCCTTAAAACTGTTTCCAGGCTTTAAACTCCAAAGAACCTCATATGTGTTTAGTACGAGATATTTCAAATTCCTGGGCCCCAAAAGTAGAAACGGCTGTAACAAAGGTGAGTGCATTACAGGTGTAAATTTAAGAACAAGCAATGTGATTGTATTGACTTAACTTGTATATTTAGACTTCATGTATCTTTTTTTGGGGAGAGGTGGGAATTGGGTGATACTGGGAGTGGGGGTAAAGGGAGAACAGACTCGAGCCCAGGTTGTCTTGGAACATGAAATCTTGCCTCAGTCTCCTGAGTGCTGAGATTGTATGTGTGTCTCCATGCCTGGCTTTTCTTTACTATGTCTTTGAGATATGTATGATCTTATAAATTTTATGGGATTATGCCATTAGATACCAAAACAGTAAAATTTTATTTCTGTGCCCTTGTTGGCTGAGTGACTGTATTGATGACTAGCAGTTTAAGGTTTTCTTTAGTTCCTTCCTGTTCACATGTAGGGTCATGCTAGTAACAGACTTCAATATATGATTTTATCAATGATTAATAACATTGTTTAGAAGAATGCTGTATTTCAGGTTGCAATTGAACCATAGCTGGGCTGGAATTTATTATCACATAGAAGAACATTAGTGTTTTCTCCACATTTGAATGTTGCTTGATGTTTACTGTTGAGTGGTTTAGTGAGAAAGGAAAGGCCATGATTTGCTATGATGACATCCACATGGTTTCGCTTCTGGCTGAGTTTCAGAGATGACACATTTCTCTTGGCTGTCTGAGCATTTCTGGCAGACAATTCTGATGGGGATATAATGTGTGAATTTACTTTTTAACGTAAATTAGTGTGTTCTGCCTAATCTGTAGATTTTTTTCTCTTTTTAACTCTTAATGAGTTATTGTAAGCTTTAAAACTATTAACTTTCAGTTTATCATTTAAAAACTTAACTTGCCCCCCCCCCAAAAAAAAAAAAAACAAAAACTACTTGCCATTGGGTACCAGTGCCTCATGCCTGTAATCCTACCTACTCAGGAGGCTGAAATTTAATGATCGCAGTTCAAAGTTAGGCTTGGTAGGACAGTCCCAGAGGCTCTTATATCCAATTAACTACCAAAAAGCTGGAAGTGAAGCTGTGGCACAAATGGTAGTAGAGCACTAGCTTTGAACAAAAAAGCTTAGTTTGTTCCCTAGTCCCTGAGTTTAAGCTCCATGACTGGCACACAAAATGACTAATTTGCCAACATTAATGTTCATCTTGAGTTCCTGTTAGGGTAATTAATTTACATTGTATTTCCTAGCAGAAAAGCCTTTAGAAAGCTATATGTTTTCACATTGTTAAAACACAATAACTAAAATATCATTTTCTCTTCTGTACCCCTGACACTGTGTTGGACAGGTGAGAACACCAGTGATGGATTCTGAAGTAAAAGTCCTGGTTCCTGGAATCCCTGGACATCATGCACCTGTCAAGCCTCCTCCTCCCTCACAAGTGAAGGAAGTAGACAGCAAGAGGAAATTAGAGGGTAAAGAGGTAATGTAGCCATTTGACCAGTCATTTGAGGTTTTAGAATGATTTTGAATAGATATTTTGGATAGACCCAAAGTAAGGATTTCAGAGGTTTGCTGAGATTGCTGCTGTTGAATCATTTTCATCCTAGACAGCTTATCTAGATTATCACCTTTGTAAGACTCTTTTGGCCTTTGATCAGAGAAAATGGAGGTTCTAATAACAAAATAGAGTCTAGCTATTTATAGCTAAATTGATGGCAGAAATTTGAATAAATTAAGCCATGGCTTGCTGTGATGATTTCCATTGGGTTTCGCATGTTGCTGAATTCCAGTGATGCCTAATTTTCTCTTGGCTGTCTGAGCAATCCTGGCTGTTTTCATGGCCATTGGTTGGACTTTAAAAGTGGATCATAGTGTATAAACCATCTTTATAAACTTGATGTTTTGGGGCTGAGGGTTTAGCCCAGTGGAAGGGCTCCTGCCTGGCGTGCAAGGCCCTGGGTTCGGTCCTCAGCCCTGGAAAAATCCCAAATCCTGTCCCTTTCCATGCATACTGTATCTATACTAAGTCTTTTTTACATTCTAAGTCCATTTACATTCTTCACTCTTGAGTAAGCTAGATTTTTTTCACTGTTTTATTCTTTAAAAGGATATTAAAAAAATACATAATTCTAGGGCTGGAAATGTGGCTTAGTGTGGAGAGTGCTTGCCTAGAATCCATGATTCCTCAGTACCACACAAACAAAAAGCTGGAGTTGGCACTGTAGCTCAAGTGATAGAGTGCTAGTCTTGAGCAAAAGAAGTAGAAGTTCAGGGATAGTGCCTAGGCCCTGAGTTCAAGGCACCAAGACTAGACTAGCAACCCCCCCCCCCCCAAAAAAAAAAAAAAGACCAACAAAAATCATAATCCTATTTTCTAAGTCAGATAATGAGAACTTTTTTTTTGGTCGATCATGGGGCTTGAACTCTGGGCCTGGAGGCTGTCCCTGTGCTCTTTAACTTAAGACGTGTGCTCTAACTCTTGAGCCACAGTGCTCCTTCTGGTTTTCTAGTTGTTTATTGAAGATCAGAGTCTCATGAACTTTTCTGCCAGGGCTGGCTTTGAACTGTGATCCTCAGATCTCAGCCTCCTGAGTAGCTAGGATTACAGGTGTGAGCCACCGGCGCCCAGCTATGAGCATTTTTTTGTTTTAGGCAATGTTACCCCTTCACTTTCCCCTCCCGTTCCTGACCATAAGTTATATAGTTCATTTTCTACATAGTATATGTTGAATAGCATGATTGTGTTTGTTTACTCTTCCTCTTTCGCTTTCTTTAGCCACCCTTCTCCTCTCCCCCAAAGAAGACAAAAAAAAGCTCAAAACAAAAATAAGCCTCTACCACCATCAACAAAAACACCCATATTTTTCATTTTCTGGAATTGATTTCATAAATAGTATTTTAAATGTTCAGAAGAGTTAAACCTTTGGATTCCTTCCCTTAGGGTATCCTTTTAGTCTGTGTGAATGCCTGAGTCCTGAATGTACAATCATACTTTAGATCTAGCTTCCACATAAGAGAAAACATACCATTTCTGTCTTCTTGTCTCTCTATCTGTCTCTGTCCGTCTCTCCCCCTCTCTCTCTCTCTGGTTGGCTTACCTTAACATGATTTGTTCTAGTTCCATCCATTTGCCTGCAAATGACACAATATAGATTTTTCTAATGGAGTCCATTGTATATATGTGCTACATTTTATTGATTCCCTTGTCTATAGTAGGGCTTCTGGGCTGTTTCCATAACTTTGCTGTTGGAAGTAGTGCAGCAATGAGCGTGGATATATGTCTTTACAGTATCCTGACTTGTAATCTTCTGGGTACATGCCCAGGAGTAGTATGGCTGGGTTGTAGGGAATATTTATGTTTAGTTTTTTGAGGAGCCTCCCAACCGCCTTACAGAATTGTTTTCTTAGTTTACATCCCCACCAACAGTGCAATGTAGTTCCTTTACCCTCCCTTCCTTACTAGCATTTTGTTTGAATTTTTGATTTCCAATCTAACTGGGATGGGATGGAATCTCAAAAATTGTTTTCATTTGCATTTCTAGAAAAGGAACATTTTTAAGAGTTAATGTTTATGGCTCGCTATTTGACGGAGGATTAGAGATGACCTAACTCTTCATCAAAAAATATCTCTTGATAATGTGATACTTGACCTTAAAAACAAGTGCAAACTTTTTTCTTGTTTTGTTTTTGGAATGGCCTAAATTCATTTCTAATTTCCTCCTGCTGTTTTAATGTTTTTAATGTAGGTTAATCCAAGTAAGTAGTTTTCCAGAGCTCATGTATGTGCTTTGCTAGTCAGTAGAAGAAATTTTATTTTTAATTAGCCAATGAAAGCTAGCTTGCATGGGCTGGGAAGGTGGCTCAGTGGTAGAGTGCTTGCCTCACATGCCTGAGGCCCTGGGTTCGATTCCTCAGCACCACATAAACAGAAAAGGCCAGAAGTGGCGCTGTGGCTCCAATGGTAGAGCGCTAGCCTTAAGCTGAAGAGCTGAGGTACAGCGCCCAGGCCCAGAATTCAGGCCCCATGACTGGCAAAAAAAAAAAAAAAAAAAAAGCTAGCTTGCAGTCTATAATCTCTTAGGCTGGTTTTAATCAGAAATCAGTTATATTGAGTTGGGTCTTTGTAATACCTTGCAATGTATTTGTACTTAAAAATTCAGAACTTACAAAGGATACTTGAGTAAGGCATATTCTACCTAGTAATCATAATTTGTAACTCACTAAGGAAAAATTCATGTTATACAGTTGTTTGGGAGCAAAACTGTTCCTTTGATAATACTTTGTTTCTTTTTATTGATCTGAGCTTAATGCCAAGCGATAGTTAGACTTGATAGTTCTTTTCTTGTACTGCAATATAACAAAATTTGAATGCCTGTAGAAAGGGAATGACTTACATTTTCTAATCATCACTTCTTGGTCTTTTTTTTTTTTTTTTGCTAGAATTTGGGATCTTGAATGTAGATTATCTCCATATTGTTGTACTGAGATTGGATTGGACTGAGCTAACAGGAGCATATTTCTGCTTGTTAGGTTGAGGCCTGGTCTGGTTAAACCTTACCAAATCATTTCTGTTCTATAGGTTAGCATTGAAGAACGCCTGGGAGCAATGGATATAGATAAAAAAGAAAGTAAAGAGGACCTTCTGCAGACGAATAGCTTTCCAGTTCTTCTCACACAGGGTTTAGAGAGCAATGATTTTGAAATGCTAAATGTAAGTATTATAGACACTTTTTCACTGAAAAAGATGGTTATTTTCTCTTAGGAGCACATTCTCAGAGTGATAATCTTGTTATGTGACAGTTTTTAACAATGCTTTTGAGCTTGGTCAAATTTATTTATCACTTGGTGGCATTATACAGACAGTCACTAACCTACCATGGGATTGTGTTGAGTCTTTTCAACCTGGAATGCATTTTCTCATAGAAATACTGTTCTGAATTTTGTTAGGTTATTAGGCTTTAGCTTATAAAAGCCTGTATAAAGTGTAGCTGAACTATAACACTCAGCATTCTAGATCACAATTTATATTTTTTTCTGTAGGAAAATGCGTTCCTGAGTTTTTACTCTGGATTCCAGAAACTTATTTCCCCCTGGCCGTGAGAGGGGCCGGTGAGGTGGAACCTTGGCAATGGGTAGGAGGTTTGAGGGGGAATTCAGGAGGGTTGGGGGTGATGTTGTAAAATACTTAGAGGTAAAGCTACCGGAAACTGTATAAAGACACTATTTACAATTTCTGTGTACGTTAGTGGCTGTTTGTGTGAAGTTACTCAAAGTAGTCCTTCAATTTCAAAGTTTAGAAAATTTATGTGTGCAAGCAATTGTAATTAAGCAATGTTCAAGCAAATTACTTTTCATTGCTAAGTGCTTTCTTAAATGACAACAATGTTACACTTCGTTGAATCTGTAACTTACAAAGTATAGTGTCTTGCTTTTATTTTGTCTTAGTGGAATATCTAATGTTTGCATAATTTGGCCAAAAGAAAGGAAACCAACAGATCTTTCAGCCACAGATTACTTCCAAAGTAGTTTGTAAATGTAGGTGTTTTAGAAGGTAGATTTTTTTAATTTATTGTGGGAAGAAACCTAGGCAAAATGTCTCCTAAGTTATGATATCTTAAAAATGATTAAATATTTCATCCAGGGATATATGTGTGTGTGTGTGTGTGTGTGTGTGTGTGTGCGCGCACACACACACACACACACACACACACACACACACACACATACCTCTAACCCTATTCAACTAAAAAACAACTACTGTTCATTACATTGCTATACATTGCTATATCAGTTCCGTGAAATACCAAATATCATTGGTTATTACATTTCCTTATAATTATAGCCTTTTTTTTTGGGGGGGGTCCAGTTGTGTGGCCTGAACTCTGGGCCTGGGCGCTGTCCCTCAGCTCTTCAGCTCAAGGCTAGCATTCTACCACTTGAGCCGCAGCGCCACTTGTGGCTTTTTTTTTTTTCCTGCTTATGTGGTGCTGAGGAATTGACCCCAGGGCCTCAGGCATGCAAGGCAAGCGCCCTACCACTGAGCCACCTTCCCAGCCCCAGGCTTTTATTTCTACTAAATAGGATCCCCCAAAAAATCCACATTGTACTTGGTTGATTGGCTTCTTTAGTCTTTTGTAATTGATTTTTTTTAAAGAAAGCTAGATTTTTTTTTGCCCAGTCTAGCATCTTTTGTTGTAGATTTTGCCTACTACATGTTTGTGATATAATTTAATCTGCTACTGTGCTCATTGTGGTTTCTATACATAGGGTAATTAGGTCTAGCAACATGAAGACATTATTAAAGGTACAGGGAAGGGCTTTTACAACAGCCTCTTTTTTATTCAGCCATATTCTTGTGATACTTTACCTAGCGATTACATATTTGCCCATTTTATACTCGGAAAAAGAAAGAGCCAAGTAAAACCAATCGAGTTTTCTCCATGGTAGATGGTAAGAAGAGTACAGGAAGTGAGCAGAGACAAGAATACAACAAGGGAGGTAAAAATACCTGTCCCAGAAAGCTGAACAGGAAAATTTATTGCTATATGAAGGCAGATATACAGCCCAGAGAAATAATTTATAGCTTAAGGCAAACAGAAACCTAGTGCTTTGTGTGTAATTGATAGCATCCATGAGATAAATGCTTTAAAATATTTTGCAGAAGTTCCCACTTAGAGTTAATAGTACCAAAAAGCATTTGGGTAAATGTAAAATTGATGACAATACCACAACATTGAAAATTTTAACAGTTGAGAGACTAAACAGAGACTTAGGGAAATAAAGATTATCCCTGGGGATATATTAGAATTTTCAGTGTTGTTACAGTTAGGAAGTCTCTCCTAAGTAATGTGTTTAACCTATTAAAAGTTAATTAAAATAGCCAGTGTCAGCTACTTTTTAGAAATTGACAAAGGCATCCTAAAATTTCTGTAGACAAAAGACATGTAATAACCAAAGCAACAAAAAAAATTGCCTTTGGAAGAATTATTCTGTATCATTTAAGATATAGTCAATATATTTGGATGTTAGTGAAAGAGAATATGGCTTAAGAGACCAAAATAGAGCTCAGAAATAATCACAAATAACTGGGAAAGTTGCTGAATCTCAACCTCAGGCTTTCCTCGAAGATCAATGCAAAATAGGTCATAGACCTAAATATAAGGTCTGAAAACTGAATTTATAGAAGAAAGTAAGTTTCCAAAACATATTTTATAAAAACAATAAAAAGCTAAAGGAAAAAATAGGTCATTGGACTCTTATTAACGCTTAATGCTCTTGAAGAGTCAGTTAGGTACTTTAGAATGATAGTGTCTAAAATCCCAGCACACTGGAGGCTGTGGTAGGAAGATTGTGAGTTCAAGGCCAACATAGGTTACATAGTAAGATCCTGTTTATAAAAACAAAAAAAAGATAACAGAGGCATGGAAAGACAAGGCATACATTGGAAAAAATATTTTTAGATTAAGAGTTTTGTCTATAACATACTTAAGAAACACTCTCAATGATAAGAATCAAAAGAATAGTTTGATAACAAGTTTGAATAGATGCTTCCTAGAATTCAGATGGTTCATATTACGTAATCATGTGAGATGGTAAAGGCACTTTGGAAACCAGTTTGTCAGTTAAGTAGCAGTAAAGGATACAACAACTATATAATCTAGTCATTCTGCTTGAATTCCTATAGCCACTTTAATTCTAATAGCAAAACATCTTTTCTATATGAAAGAATGGAAAAGACTCAATAGGTGAATTGATAGATTAATCATTTAGATGGAGAACTAGTTGCCTGTGGATCACTGTTATCCTAGCCACTCAAGAGACCGAGACCTGAGAATCTCCAACTAACTAGGAAAAGTCTGGAACTAGAGACATGGCTCAATTGATATAGTATCAGGTCGGGCAGAAAATAACTGAGTGAATACTCAGAGTTAAATCCCCAGTAACTGCACCCTCCATAAAAGAATTAAGAATGGATGAAGGGCTCATAACATGTTTCTCTTGTATAAAAATTCTGGAGATAAGTCTAGTGTTTGTCTGTTTTGTGGTGCGGGGACCAAAGCTATGGTACATGCTAAGGGAATGAATGCTCTACCATCAGTCTACATACCCACTCTCCAATTTTCAAACTTTTAGTAATAAACAGCGGGCAACAACAATTTTGAGTTTATATTTTGTAGTCACTCTATTTTTAAGACAACATAGCTTGGTGGTTTGGATAAAAGATGGAAGATTTTTTTAAAGAAACATGATAGCTCTCAAAAAGTAATGTACAGAGCTTCTCAAGTAGTTTCTCTAGATGAGTTTCTCTAGATGATTGGAACTTTATGAAAACTGATCTATAAAAAGGAAGTGAATTGCCGGGCGCTGGTGGCTCACACCTGTAATCCTAGCTACTCAGGAGGCTGAGATCTGAGGATCGCGGTTCAAAGCCAGCCCAGACAGAAGAGACCGTTGAGACTCCTATCTCCAATAAACCACCAGAAAACCGGAA